TTAGCCAGGGACCGTATTTTCGAGAAAGTGCGGGTGCCGTTGAGCTGGGGTTAACGGCTAAGCACACTTTCGAATGCACACGGAGCCGACACAGTCTAAGTCATTGACCGCTTCTTCTCAAATTCGGGGAGGGCTTAGCTGCCAACCGGGCAGGAAATGACATACATGACCAAAAGCTTCGAGGGTCAGTAGCTCTGTAAAGAGTGTCAAACACAACTTTATCTGATGGAGTGTAAAGCGAGCTGCTTTATGTTCGACAAACTAAACATCTATTTGAGTCATCGTGAAAAGCTATGCTCTGCTTATGTTGCCCTCACATTTTTCGGACCATGCGCGGGGACATCCTTCCCCACTCACAAGAACTACTCATTTAAGCACTACAAATTCTATGCACACTGCTGCGTTGGTTTAAACTGTGGGTAATGGTGCGCATCTAAGCTTTTTTTCTTTTTATCCGGAGACAACTGTCAGTTAATTCGAACGGAAAGCCAGTTGTGAAAAACAGGTCTCACGTTCCACCCAAATTAGCCTATTCTCTACCCACGCCTCTAGCCGCTAAGCCGGAGCCCCTCTTGCGCGAGCAGCAATAATGCTGCTGTGCTACACTGTACCGCGTATGGTTGACTGACTAAAGTCGGCTCCAAAAGTGTTTTAATTGTCCCTAATTTCCCCACGCCAGGTACAAATGGGAAATTTGGAATGCATATCTATCCCGGCAAAATTCAGGCACGTCTGGCAAAGCTAAATGCTGGATTAGCGACACTTTTGACGATCGAAAATACCCAACAACTGTAAGCTAAGCCCGAACTAAAAGTGAGCACTACACGTTCGTTTATTGATTAAGCTCACTGTTTTAAGCCAAATGTTTATATTGGTATACGTTTTGCTATATTTCAGTGCTCGGATGACTCCATATGCTTTAAACCTATTTCGACACAGCACTGAGACGTAAATTTTGTCGAATTTTCTAGCATGTCTTATCCGATTGCTGAACTCTTACTCCAGGAAGAGCCCTAACGTCTCATAGAGAGGCATCATCTCCGCGTTCAAACATTACCTGCCGCAGAGAAAGCAGACCATTTGTCGCACAGTGGCGACATCTGCGCTGATCCAGGTCGATCCTTGGAATGTGACCTGGTACGTCTCGAGGACCGTTGAGTTTGGGTGTGTTTGGAGTTGGCACGCACCACGTGAAGCAGCACAGAGCTGTTGCCAACGCCAACTGGAATCGTGTATGATCTGGTGGAAGAGACATCTAGTGTCAGAAAACCTAAGCTTAGTTTGTTTGAGCTCTCTCAACGTGACGGCCCAGAACGGGGCCCAGAAATGAGCCGAGCTATGTAGAATGAGATGGAGTAGGGAAACACTTAACAGTGCGGTGAAAATTACCTCGCGTTTGAAAGAAACATAACAACAGTTGATAAAGCGGAGCAAATGCAAACTCCTCAGGCGTACAGTCATCGTAACACATTACTACGGGTGCAGAAACCAGGGAGCAAGAGGTGGTTGAGCCCACAGGCTTTCTGAAAATATGACGTTGGTGTGGGGGTGGGTGTGGGTGTGGTGTGGGGTGTGGGTGTGGGTGTGTGGGGGCGTGTAGTTGTGGGTGGGTGGGTGGGTGTTATAGGAACACGCGCAATTTGCTGATAGGATCTAGACAGAAGCACCTTGTCTTTGAGTAGGATTTCCGTTATCCCACTACGCATAACACAAACCTCCGCTCTTGTGAACTCCATGTCACGCAACGGTAGCTGTGAGGTGCGGTCTGACAACGGCTGATGCAGAGCTGAATTTATGCGTTGAATGTGCACCCACTGAATCATTGCTAACTATGCCTACAAGTTGGTAACAACGCAAACGATTCTCAATATCCTTACAGTTTCCTTTGGCGGATGCCAGGGACCTGCACTTCCTGCTCGCAGTGCTGGGCCTGCGCCGACAGCTGGACCTGGAGTTGACCCCAGTTGACCTTGACACGGTATGACGTGATGAGGGGTGAGAAGGCAGGCTCTAACTGCAGGTCGCCAGGCCCCACGGACAGGGTCGCCAGTCCGGAGCCGTTCGCCGAGTCTGGAAGTTTGCCTTCATGAGCTGTCATCGGGCATGGATGGCAGTGAAGCCGGGCCATTGGGCTGCCCCAAGTAACTGCTCTATGCTCTATGCTCTTCGTGACTGCTCTTCATCTATGGGTAATCCTGTATCTGTATTTGGGGATTTTGGGCAGGAGGAATTTACAAGCCTTAGGAGGGAGGCACCAACGTCATGAAGTTTGCATCATTCTTTTGAAAAACCAAAGCATGTTTGTATTTTATTTGTTCCAAGCAGGGGTGCACCCAGACTCCCGGTAAAGGAGGAGGGGACAAATGGTTGACAAAGGGCCTTTGATGATGTGAAAGCTCCTAAAAAAGACCAACACCGAATATGGCTTGTTTTCGAGCGGTGGATTTGCGATTTCTCCGTCCTTTTATTTTTGCATTTTTACTGTGAAATAAGCCAGAACCTGCCGAAAAATGTGATCATGTTTGCATTTTGAAGTCAAACTGGAGCAGGCGGGAATTAAATGACAACATAGAATAATCTACCGGCGCTTTTCATTTGCACACATTTAGTGGACCTTCCTTAACCGAAAGAATCTTTAGGGTTTGCCAGAACCATTGTTCTGAATATAACAGACCTCATGAAAACCCCGTAAACGTATATTGTGGATCAAAATAGGGCCATAACTTTGCATCAATATGGTCAAAAAATGTTCGTCGGAGGTTGTTCAAGCTTAAGTCAGAATCGCTATGAGTAAATCATAACATAGTTTTTAACACGCGCGTTCGCGCTCTTAGAAACAAAAACCCAGATACGCCGCGCTGCAGTCTCCGTAGGTTGCGCCGCGTTGGTCCTGCGGCTAACACTACGCAACGGCAACAGGCGGACGAAAGTAATAACATATCTGAAAGAAATACCTTTGAGCGCATTAGGTCATCAATTCGTAAATTTTGAAGGCAATCCTGGCGTGTGTATCATCTGCGCGATTTAAGGATTGATAGAAGGAACGGATTAGTATTTACGCCATCGCTAACTGGTGCTGAAATCTGATGTTGGAGCAGGACGAGTGAAGGCAGAATTTCTATTTTCCTGTTGCTGTAGCTGCTCATCTGCTAACAGAAGATCCTCAAAATAAAAAAGGTGAATTACAGTATCAGGTCTAATCTCTCAACGGCGCGCATTGATTTTGAAATGTTTTCGGAAGCATTATTTCATGACGGTCGTTCTCGTGCGGCTGGTGCTCGTCGCCTGGCGTTATCTGCAGCGACCAACACCGCTCGGTTTAAAGAAAACTGCAATCCCGGCCATTGCTCTTTTATACGTCTACTCTGTTGAACGATGGACGTTCTCAGGCAAACACGGGATAGCATTTCTTATTTTTGACTTTATTTTGGTTCATTCTATTCAACACTAACGAGACCCCTTACTTTTTTCCGAGCAGAAGGTCTGGCGGGTAAAATCTTGAGGAGCGCATTGTCGTTCCGGTCAAGGGCCGCTGGCTGAAGAGCCACTCCGTCTGAACGCGTGGTGCCTACACGCTGCCATTCTAGCGACACGGCGGCTCTTAGACAGATACATTATATATTGTTACCTGTCCTAGCGCGGGAAATCCATGGCCCCGGTATATTAACGTTGGAGTCATCATTGACCCAACAAGGTCCTTTGACACCATGGGTGGTTCAATAAATAGTACAGAGGCACCAGTTCGGCTTAGCAGGCCCTCGCCTGGAATGGGATGGAGAGCCCCCCGTTCGGCGCTGGAGGCCCAGAATAAAGCAGGGCCTTCTTTTGTCTCATTGCGGACTCTCATCACAAGTTCGCAAGCTTCCTTTCATTATCAGATGGCCCCGGCCAACGCAATAGGCCCTCTCACATTTGGGGTTCCACCGCTGTTCCTGCTCAGCAAATGATTCCCCGGCCGACTAGGGCCCCTTGGTGACACATGGCCCCTGTTAGGCACTGTGGGTCCCTGATCGACACAGGGGCCTCTTATTGTCTCAGGGGCTCCAACCAATGTAAAGCCCTGCGCCCGACCTTGTCCCTGCTTGGGAAATGTGCCCTGGGACTCAGACCGGCACGGGGCCGGCTGTTCGGTGTTTGGTGGTCTCTGGGCGCAGTAGGGGTCCACATTGCCCTATGGAGTCCCCAATCGGTGTGAGCTACACTCCGGCTGGCATCTGGGGTCACGGCCCCACGGACTGAGGTTCTTTATCTGAACTACCGTCAGCCATTCGTCTATTCGGGCACTTCAGCCATCCAGTCGGGATCGTGAACTTCGGTCCCGAGGGCCCCTTCGGGCCCTCTCGAACACGACCCCTGGACGACTCGGGGCCATTTGCCGACACAGGGCACGCTGTAAGGCACTGCGGGCTCCTGGCCGACACAGGGACCCCTCATTGTTTCAGATATTCCAATGACGGCCGAAAGGGGCCATTTGGTCCCATCTTTGAGCCCCCTCGAACACAGCTCCTGGCCGAGTCGGGGCCCCTCGGCAACAAAGGACACTCTGTTAGGCACTTTGGGCCCCTGGCCGGCACAGGGGGCCGCTTATTGACGTAAACACCGCGACCAATGTAGATCGCGAGCTCCGGCCCTGTCCCTGCCTGGGAAATGGACCCTACCCTCAGGCCCAGACCGACACGGAGCCGACTGTTCGGCACACGAGCCCTCTGACTGATATTTACGCCTCTGGCCAGCTCTTCATGCCTGATGGGCATTCAAATCAGGTCCGATGAACCCTTCGGGGGCCTAAGGTAAGGGGGCACATGGCCCCTGTGCCCTCCCTGCCTACGCCACTGGTTTCCAGGAAGATCTTGCTTCTACCGATCTGGTCAACAAGGTCCAACCGTAAGATTGTGTGCAAGCCTTAAGAGATCCATTGTATTATCGCATCGCATTAAGAGCATCGTAGTTTAGCGGCCTTACATGTGCTCAAACAAATTGCTGGGCCAATGCACGCATGTTGAGTGTCTCACCGGTTATGCGAAATTTTACAATGCTGACACTTGTCGTTTTGGCCTTGGCAACGCCGGTTGGGGGTAAGATCCCACTCAGCCCAGTTCTTCCTCCTCTTTCCTCTCCTTGTCTTCGTCCCTCTATCTTCCTTTCGCCTCCTCCTCTAATTAGCGGAGTGTTGCGTGTGGCCGTTCGTTAGGTCGCGGTGGCAGTGATTTGACCACCCTCGTTCGCTCCTGTGCATTAGTCAGCCGCCGTCGCGCAAGGCAACATCATTTCGCTTTACGAGTCACAGTAGTGCGCTCTGGCACGCCACAGGGGCTTGTTTGGTTGTGGTTTCCCATACTGGGTGAGTTCGGTCAAAGAACGGTGCCGCTTCGGAATGAGCCGCTTGGTCCACTAGGTCAAAAACGGAGGATTTGTCGTTGTCCTACTGGCGGTCATATGGATATAAATAGATAGATAGATAGATAGATAGATAGATAGATAGATAGAGAGAGAGAGAGAGAGAGAGGAGAGAGAGAGGAGAGAGAGAGAGAGAGAGGGAGATATATATGTATATATATATATATATATATATATATATATATAGAATATATATATATATATATATATAATATACGTCTCTCTCTCTCTCTCTCTCTTCTCTCTCTCTCTCTCTCTCTCTCTCTCTCTCTCTCTCTCTCTCTCTCTCTCTCTCTCTCTCTCTCTCTCTCTCTATCTCTCTCTCTCTCTCTCTCTCTTCTCTCTCTCTCTCTCTCTCTCCCTCTCTCTCTCTCTCTCTCTCTCTCTCTTCTCTCTCTCTCTCTCTCTCTCTCTCTCTCTCTCCTCTCTCTCTCTCTCTCTCTCTCTCTCTCTCCTCTCTCTATCTATCTATCTATCTATCTATACATATATATATATACACATATATAAATACATACATGTATACATATATATATATATATATATATATTTGGGTATGTGTACAGGGCATTACTAGCATGCCAGAACATTGGTTAAAAGCAGGGGTATTATTTCAGGTGCCGTAACACAAATTGATTTCATCTGCCAGCGCCAACGGCGCCTAGAAGTGAGCACCACGAAGGAGCGAAGAGACAAATCAACTGTGCTTGCCTTTCTAAGGCAGTCATCTACCGCTCCTATATTTTATTTTTGCGGTTGTGCTGTGTGTCTAAACCGTCAACATGCCAGACCAACAATCTCAACCAACAACACCAAACAAAAGACGTGATACAGAATAGGTAGGTACACACTCAGGAGTGCTGCCGGAGTCCACCTAGAGCGACGCTCTACATATGGCAGAGGCCATGGAGGAGGCAAAGGAGTAATCACAAGGTCAAGTCTGTAATCCAGCTACTCAACAACACTGTCCGCACGGCGCTGCCATATGACGTCTGTACACTGTCTCGGTGACTCAGCTAAACCTGCCCGGTCCTACCTCGTGCGCCGTCCGCCGTGAAGGGCCCGGTCCTACCTCGTGCGCAGTCCGCCGTGAGGGGCCCGGTCCTACCTCGTGCGCAGTCCGCCGTGAGGGGCCCGGTCCTACCTCGTGTGCAGCCCGCCGTGAGGGGTCCGGTCCTACCTCGTGCGCAGTCCGCCGTGAGGGGCCCGGTCCTACCTCGTGCGCAGTCCGCCGTGAAGGGCCCAGTCCTACCTCGTGTGCAGGCCGCCGTGAGGGGCCCGATCTTACCTCGTGCGCACTCCGCCGTCAGGGGTCCGGTCCTACCTCGTGTGCTGTCCGCCGTGAGGGGCCCGGTCCTACCTCGTGTGCAGTTCGCCGTGAGGGGCCGGTCCTACCTCGTGTGCAGTCCCGTGAGGGGCCCGGTCCTACCTCGTGTGCAGTCCGCCATGAGGGGCCGGTCCTACCTCGTGTGCAGTCCGCCGTGAGGGGCCCGGTCCTACCTCGTGTGCAGTTCGCCGTGAGGGGCCCGGGTCCTACCATCGCTGGCAGCCCGCCTTGAGGGGGCCCGGTCCCCTAACCTCGTGTGCAGTCCGCCGTGAGGGGCCCGGTCCTACCTCGTGCGCGGTATCCGCCGTGAAGGGCCCAGTCCTACCTCGTGCGCAGTCCGCCTCGTGAGGGGGCCCGGTCCTACCTCCGTGTCGCGGTCCGCCGTGAAAGGGCCCAGTCCCTACCTCGTGTGCAGTCCGCCGCCTGAAGGGGCCCGGTCCTACCTCGTGTGCAGTCCGCCGTGAGGGGCCCGGTCCTACCTCGTGTGCAGTCCGCCGTGAGGGACGCGTTGAGTGTTGCGAGCAGAACACGACGACCAGCCGGGTTAGGCTGACCCGGCCCGGGTCAGATGACCGTCCAGCAGCAGCGTCTGCTCTCTCAGCAGCAGTGTAATGCATTCTTACTGCCGACCAGAACACGGAGGACCATAGTTTAGCCGAAAGGAAGCCTCCATTCATGGGACAAAGTACTCTATCAGGAGGACCAGCACTTGTGGTTTGACGTTTGTTGGAAGCTTGTTTTTTTTGTTTGTTGTGTGTTGCTGGAAGTTTGTTATTTGTTGTTGGAAGCAGCGAGAGCAGCCATATCTGACGTTATAAATATGACTGAGCTAATAGGCCTGCGAAAAGACCTTCGAGTTGTTTCAAGGTTCATGGCAAAAAGCAATGGTATATAGGTAGCAGATGGTATGTTTCTCCAAGTTCTTAAAAGGCCATTGGCGCCTAGTGCTGTGTTCACATCTGTAGCGAAGCTTGGTCGCGTCAATAAATAGTCAGCAATTGCTAACATTTTGGTTTCCCACGATATCGGCAAGCATTTTCGTGGAAATGCAGGCAATTGCTGGCTGGAATTGTCCATTCAGTGGGTTTTGTGAGCAGGCATTTGCATGCGTCGCGTACTTTTACGTTTGCGCTGACATGAAACGCTGAAAACCCACCACGTGGCCGTTGTTGAAACATGAGATTGCCTGTCCCATCGCAAGTCTTCCTGAACTGTCCATGCGGGCCAGGCTAGGTTTGCAGACAAGGCGCAGCCCGGAGCCGTCTGATCCTGACCTGAGAGTGCGCGGTAGCTCCACCCCGAATACATGGTTAGAAGCGTCCTGAGGAGGCAGCCGGACGAACGAGCCGGCCCGGGCCATTTGACCTGCGAGGGTCACCAGACAGACGACCCAGGCGGAGGTCAGGCAGCCATCACCTCCCTCCGAGCAGTCCTCTGGGATGGCTGCGAGGACATGTCTCCACATGAGTGTGGTGCAGGCAGATCATGGCCTTGATTTGGGAGCCGTGACCATGGGACTCGATACACACCGGCCGGCGATGAACACACACACATACACACGCACCGGCGCCAGGCCGGTGGTGGACTCCCCCACGTCACGCCGTGGGTCTCTTGGGTGTCCCACTTGCCTATATCTATAGCAGTCAACTTTGCATGCTAGACAGACAATCAAGACGTCATCGGAAAGCGCTCGTTAAGTAGAGCTCAAGATGCACTTTGCATCTTCATAACAGGTTAAGTAAGGGTTACTTGGCACTTCGTCTTTCGGGTGCTGGGATATGAGGGCTTGTTCTTTGTTAACGCTGTCTTGTAATTGCAACATCCGTTAATGCACATTATACCAAAGCTATGGAAAAACTGGGTTCGGGACGGTTACGTGATTTGAGATAATTTCCTTACGCTGGAACTTGTGGATTCTAGCTTCAGAAACAAACCAGCAAACCTAAGATGCCGTGCTGGCTGAGGCGCTGCTGCAGCCATAGACCGATTCCCGACGGCTCTGCTGGCTGCTGTCCTGTTGCAGCCACACGTCCACTCACAGAAGCCCCGCTGTGTGAGCGCCCTCTGCAGCTTCTGCCGCCGCCCGGCCTCCTCCAACGCTGGCCCGGGCACTAGGACTCCGGCCGCTTCCCTCAGCAGGGCCTCCCCGGCCGGGTCACGAGACTCGAGGTCAGACACCGCCGTCAGGCAGGAGGTCAGGTCACGTGAGAGCGTGACGTCAGCCCGCAGAAGGCGCCAATGATATGCGGGGCATGCGCTGAAAGATAGTGATTTGTAGGGTTATTTCCGTCACCTGCATTACCTAAATGGTTGAGATGTTTTGTCAATAAATCTGTAATTGGAATTTACTTGTTGTGCTATGAGCGCATTTAATATGACCAATGGGGTTGATACAAGCTCTGGAAACCGTTGAAATTTGGCCTACTTGCAACTGCAAACCTTGTTGGTACATCAAATGGGCCCCGGCTATCGAGGGCTCGAATCATCGATCACACCTCAAAGCTTCTTGAACCCGAATCTTAGCCGCCACTACCGTCACTTATGGAATTAAAGGCGACGCGCCTCCGCCTCACCAACAGGACAACGATCACGTGTCAGGGAGCGAATCTGGCAAACAGAAACAGGTCTCTCCTGATTGGCCGGTAAGATCGGCCACGTGCCGGCGCTCACCTCAGCTCGGGCAGCTCCGATTTTGACTGGGCAGTGACGCTGCGGAGGGCGGAGCGCAGACATTCTTGAACTGATGACGTCACGTCGCCCGGAGAACTAGAATTTAATGTATGGCTGCAATCTGGTCCTAAGTCCTCGAACCCCTGAAAGAGGCATACGCATGAGATGCTATCTTCAGCATAGACTAACTGCAAGCGTGACGCCGATATTCTTATTCATGTAATCCTCGCTGAAGCAAGACACCGTTTGACGTAGATTCGACGATCGCGCATTCATCGCGCTACATTAGCATGCAGGAAAGATCCAGCGGCGACAGCCCGACTAGAAACAATTCTGTACATACAGCCCAAGCAGGGACGATCCTGTACGTACAGCCCAAGGAGGGACGATCGTGTATATACAGCCCGAGCAGAAGCGATTCCGTAGATAAATGCTGAGCAGAAGCGATTCCGTAGATAAAGGCTGAGCGGAATCGATTTCGTAGATAAAGGCTGAGCAGAAGTGATGTGCACCAAACCGCTTCGGGCCAGTCCCGCCTAAAGAGACAGTCCGGCACATATCACAGAGAGCCGCTCTTTGCCTTCGAGTGAGCCATCGTCTACTGATCCCGCAAAGGCGCCTTGACGGCCCCGCGCGGACTCAGTCTCTTTCTTACCTTCTGGCCGAGCTGTCTCAAGCTGATCTGGTCGGAGACAAACGCCCTGTCCAGGTCGTTTCCCACGAGGAGCACATTTACCCGGAACACAGCCAGGTGTACTCCGTCGCACAGTAGGTCGTCAGTGACAGGCGACGTCGCAAATACACTGCAATGGGGACATGTGCGGTGAGAAAGCTCCACGGTGTATGATTCTTGGCGGCAGGGTCACGTGGGTTTTTTGCGTGGGATTATGTGATCTCCTGGATGTTAGAGGACTGAGCGTGTGGAAATTTGTTTCTGACTTGAGTTCGCTGACAGTGAATGTGTGCTCTCAAAATGCATTTGTTTCGGGCATCGCTGATGTTGCCGAAAGTTTTTAATTTTGTTGTTTTGCGTTGTGATGGTTGTAAAAGATTTAGGCATTATCATGCATTCTTTGCAAGGTGAACGACTGGTAGTGGCAACCAAGTGTGGTTGTGTTCACTGCTTCACTGCTGAATACAGAACGTAGACGCGTTGACCATGCAGTTATTTGGAATTTGTCGAAGATAAGAACCTTTCCCACTCTTCCAGAAAAATAGAGCTGAAAAAGCTCGTTGGCAGCCCCATCTCCGTCAGTGGGTAATAGATGTTTAAGAACCAAAGCTGTCAGAAACATTCAGTGGAAGGCTTCAGGGGCAGATCGGAAATTGGAACTGGAAAATTGGATCGTCTGTGAGCAAGCGGGTGACTGCGTGAGATGATCAGACAGCGAGCAGACTCAGTAAAAATTCATGCACGGAAGTTCTCCCTACAGACAACTTTGACGCAATCGAGGACACGATGTTAAGACCCAATTACAAGAACTGCGACTCTGCACGTTTTTCATAGGCCACCATTAGCAACTGAGCACTTGAGGCGTGTCGCACACCGTTCTTGTTCAAATCATGCTGCTTATGACGCCGTATTTGCAAACGTAGGCATATGTAGAAAATAATCGGCAGTAAACAGAAACAAACGAGCAACATCATCCAAATCGCATTGCCCTTTATGCCCTCCTTGGCTCATCATACTGAGGCAATTTCTGTGCCCGTCTTTTACACCCTTTACAGCACCGTGGATGAACCCTACTGTGTCCATCTTGGAGAAAATGAGCTATGCCCGCGGCGCGACAAATGAGGCCCCCCGTGGCAGCAGTCATCAGCCAGAGTCAGCCAGGCAGGCAATCATGCCACCATCTCGCCCATAATCTCTGGTCTGACCAGCGCCCCGTGCTGACGAACCCATCGCCGCTGTAAACCAGCTGGTTCTTCATGTAGCCCGCGGGCGATCCGTGTGTGAGTCTCGGCTGGTGCTCTGCCGTATCTGCAGCGAGTACCGGTCGTCGACTCTTGCACAGATGCATTCCACCCCAGGTGTGAGGCCTGTGTCCGTGGTGCGGATCCGCGCCGGTGGTCAAATGACTGCGGAGAGCGGCTGGTGGTACCACGTGTTTAAGCCGCACGTAACTGAGTCGGTTGACAGTCCGATCTTTGTTGCATGCAGACTACCGGCTCAGCATTTAACACATTCACAAACACGCAAAGGTGTATATGGAGTGTGCTTTAAAAGAAAACGATGAACAGGACGGACTTTGCACGATAAGTGCCCTTCACCCTCGCCGTCACGGGAGATGATAAGATTCCTTTTGGTTTTCGCAGGCTTCCTGCCGAACCCTTACCCTCCTTATGGAACCCTCCAGCCGAATATGCACCCTCCTCCTGGAACCCGCCTGTCGAACATGTCCGTCGCAATTCAGTTAGCGATATCTAAATTTCAAATCTGTTTTCAATTGCCCGGTAAGTTTTAACTTTTTACAATAATATGTTATGCCATTATTACCATTATCATAAGTTAGATCGCTGCCGCACGACTTTACTGTGGGGAATTTGCATTAGAGTTGTGGCCTTGTGCAGGCTGTTCAAGACGTGGAAATCGTCACAACGCGAGGTGCTCTTAACTTTGCATGCATCAGGCCTTTCTGTATTGCGCTCCTGATGCGATAAAGTGGTTATAGCATACACGTCGCCAAGGTGTGTGACATCTGTTATGGCAATGCTGCATCAGCCCATCCCTCGACCATTACGCCACATCAGACATCAGGCGCGTTAAATCGTGAGCTAATCAACGAACAGTTAATTGTCAGTGGTGGTGAATGGGTATATCAGGCCAATGTCATACCGGGTCAAGCTTTAAAATAGTTATAATCAACGTGGTGGACTTTCCATGGGATACTGATAGCATAGCTATACATGAGGATATAATTACAAGATTGGCCATTGGCAAGATCATTGCGACTCATAGCATGCCCCCAGTTGACCTCAAACTGTATTTTAGAAGAGAATGGCGTATGGCGCACTTTGAGCTGTGTCACCATTGCTCCGTGAAAGTATGAAGCTACAAACAGAAGACCAAAGCGCAGTTCTACCTCGTCCGACCTTACCTGTCAGCGAAACCGTAAGGAATGCTGCATGGTTACCTCAACAGAACTTGTTCATGACGCCCTGTCCAATGTGTTCTGCTCTAGCATGACAGGAATGGAATCGTCCAGAGTATCGTAGCAGTCATCAGTGCTGTGTTACCGAGGTGAAATGTCAAGCGCCAGCGGAGACTAACACTAACTCACGTGTCTGGCAGTCATCCGCGGAGACTACCACAACTCATGTGTCTGGCAGTTATCCGCGGAGACTACCACAACTCATGTGTCTGGCAGTCCTTCGCGGGGGCTACCACAACTCACCGTGTCTGGCCGTTCTCCGCGGGGACTTCCACAACTCATGTGTCTGGCAGTTATCCGCGGGGACTACCACAACTCACGTGCCTGGCCGTTCTCCGCTGGGACTACCACAACTCACCTGTCTGGCAGTCCTCCGCGGGGACTGCCACAACTCACCTGTCTGGCAGTCCTCCGCGGAGACTACCACAACTCACCTGTTTGGCAGTCCTCCGCGGGGACTACCACAACTCACGCGTCTGGCAGTCCTCCGCGGGGACTACCACGACTCACGTGTCTGGCAGTCCTCCGCGGAGACTACAACTCTCGCGTTTGGCGGTCTTCCGCAGAGACTACAACTCTCGTGTCTGACAGTCCTCCGCGGGGACTACCACAACTCACGTGTCTGGCCGTTCTCCGCGGACCATGTTCAGCTGGCCGCCGTCACTCGTCGTTAGCCAGCTTCGTCCGAGCTCCCCGTGCCAGCGGCCGAGTTCGGCGAGGTCGGGCACCCCCGCAGCCGGAGGGTCGACCACCCCTGGCCGGAGCCGGTGCCGCAGCAGCAGGGGTCCCGACAGCGAACGTCGAGGAATTACCCACCGAGCCTGAAAGCGGCGCCGAACGCGGCGGGATGGGACGAGAGGTCAGAGGTCAGACAGAACGAGCCGTGGACGCTGTGGAGGTCCCCGTAGTGATCACATCACCGATGCGGAGGTGCTTCAGTCCGTTTGCTAAGCTGGGTGGGTTTCGGGTGGTTCGCCAGGGCCCGTCGATCTCACGTATCGGTGAATGTTATGGTGCAAGGGTGGGCGTTAGTGAGGTCGCGCAAGCCTCCAGCTCGTAACGGATGTCGGCGTAAGTCTCTCGGTCATATCTTTGAACTTAAACTGATTGCACCCGCACAGTCCCAAACTGTGGGACATTTCATGCCGTGCAACTCTCCAAGCTCCATGTCCAAAGTACTAGCTCGGCACATGCGCCCTCCTGGCAGTGTCCGTGCGCGTGACATGAACTCTGGAGGCATGTTTGTCATGTTTCGTCGACCTCCACATGTCAGGAATTGGACCAGCCCTCCAGGTGACCGTGCTCAGGAATAGATCCATCTCATCTCGACACGCATTGGCAAGGACAGGCTATGGCCCGTGGTAAGCGCTCTCACACCGACAGTCCCGGATGCTTATTGTTTTTAACCCGGTTTCAGACGAAAGATCAGCATACCAGAAAAACATCAAACTGCTAATGAAGGTCAATATCTCTCGAGCATTTCATGTTTAAATTGAAAGTCGTGAAGAGTGAACACATAATCTATATTCGCTGCCTATTTTCACGGAAACTAGGAGTCCTCATTCACGGTCGCGTGGTGTCAAAAGCACGCGTTTCTTACCTCGGCGCTCCCCGGCTGCCTGTCGTCGCAGGGGTGTTCACAGAACACCTCCGCGTCCAGTCCAGCGGTGGGAGCTGTCTCCACCTCGTACCCCCGCTCTCGGAGTATGGACCTAATGACCGGGCCCAGGTCAGCGCCGGCCGTCGGTTGGCGGAGCCGGAGGACCGCCCGCCGGCCCGGGACCCCCTCCTGAGCGAGGTCATCCGTCTGAGGGCAAACAGGGCGGTGATGAGGAGCGATGGTCCGTGTCGGAGCATGCCTCAGCCCACAGCTCGACGCCTCCACATTACCGGCGGCCGCCAACAACAATGGAACGCTGACACACGTGCGGGATGGATTTGGTTCCTTCCGCAGAGATCTAGAACGAACTTGGAAAGCATCTTAGGCAGACTGTAATAGTTTCGAACCTCCGCTAACTCAAAACGGCAGAGCATTCTGAGCTGATTTCACCGTGACCAAGTGTAGGACCAAATTCGAAAATAACGATTCGCTTCAGCATGCAAGCACCTCGGAGACAACATCCACCAGTGCCCATCCCTGATCCGCCACGTATCCGGCGCGGGGACCGGAAGCCCTCAGGCGCAGTTTGCTTGGTTTGGACCGCTGCCAGGGCGGCACGCGTTTCACGAGCGGGATTGACACGACGCCGTAGACCCGACACGACGTTACGATCAGCGCTGTTTGGACAGCTGAGGGCGGGGTCCCGCCTGAGCCGACTTCACTGCGCTGTGATTGTGCGACTGGACTGCTTCATGGCCGTCAAGCAGCGAATGAGGGGAACGTCAAAGCGCGACTGCGCTTGATTTAAAAGGCCTCTATAAAAAGGCACTGGTGTCGGCAAAAATACGGAGTTATAATGCACGATGCCTGTGCGGTTCAAGCATGTGCAAAATTGTCGCACCATCGAAATTACACTTCCTGCTTCTCGAAACCTGGTCTTACCCTACATGGCTGTAAAACAATGGCACATTGATGCCCGTGATATAACATTAGTACTTGAAGTTTAACCTTGTTGACCGTGAATGTCACTTTGTATCCGAAATCTATCAAAATATAAATACTTCCTGCGTTCATTCCGCTGGGCCTGCTTTCGAACCGAATATTCCCTGGAAGTGGTACAAATATTCGTCACATCTCGTTCCGCCTTTGCAGGACATGTGTCTGTGTTTGCTCGTTGCGGTCTCCCCCACAGATCGTATCAGGTGGCCCTGCGACCTCCCACAACGCCAGTCACGGCACTGCCCGAGCAACCAGCCGTCTGCACCACTCGTCGCCGATGCTGGGCTCACCGACGCAGGAGCGAGCGTCGTCGCGTTAGCCATGACTCAACCGGCAGAGCGAGCTTGCGTCCCGTTGCCCTAGTGGCCTTGTGCTTACGCTTACACTTACGCCGTGGGTTAGAGAGGATTGGGCCCATCGAAGAATCGCTTGTTAGTTGAATGTATATGGGAAGTTGTGCCATACTGTCCTGATTTAGTGGGCTTCCTTCTTTACGCTGAAATGATTCCCGCTGTATCCGCGTTAAAGCTGGTCCAGTAGTAGGTGAGTACTGCCCGTTAATGCTTCCATTTTGGCAGCGCTTTAACGCATAACGGTGCGACGGAACAAAAAACGTAAAGGCGGAAATGTGTTCGATGTTCGTGATGTGTTATGGTCGAAAAACGAGCGTTTGAAGTCAAATTATTCTCCTCCTCCTGGGTAAAACAAGCTCAGAGCAAAAATGGAAAACTCAATCATACCTTAAAACATCACAGAGATGGCGTGTTGGCCGTTCTTGAGCGGCTTACCACGCGAGTGGGCACCGGATTCAGCACAGTGTGGAATCGGACGGGAATCAGGAATCCGATGAGCTGATCGATCTGCCCGCCTCAATCCCGTTAGGCATAACTCCATTTGCGGCGCTGCCGGCGACAGATTCCCGCCGCGAGAAAGCCCTCCCACGTGCCAGCGGCGGCGGCGCGGCGCCTCGACATAGTTCCTGTGAGTGGTGGACCGAGCTGGCCTGCTCGACGCAGTGGAGCATCGTCAGTTCTTCAGGTGCTCCCGACGTCACCAATTCACCGCCGCCGACACTAAGAGCGACTGGTGGTCAGGGCCCGGGCAGTTTTCGGCTCTGAGTGTAGATATGACGGCTCCGCCAATAAGTCCCGATTGCCTTCTGACATTAGACTGCACGCTTCCCATCAACCTAATCGTCTGTTATGTGCGGGATGTCGCAAATCCTAACGAAAACCTTTCCCTGACGCTCACCTTGCGGTTGCCGTCAGCGCCAGGGGCGGCGACGGTGTCATGACCGGCAGCGGCGGCGCTGGCGGCAGTGGCAGCGGCAGCGGCACTGGCGGCAGCGGCAGCGGTCGGTCCCGTGGCCGTGTTGAGCAGCGCTCTCCGTCGTGCCTCGCTGCCCTGTCGGCATGGTGTTGAGTGTCGGTTAACGGATGACCCCGGGTCGCAGAGCGCCCAGTGGTGTCGGGGTCAGGGTCAACCGCAGCCGGCCCCGGCCACTCAGCAGCCTCGCCGCCGCTGGCCAGGCTCCCGCCGCTAGTCAAGCTCCCGCCGCTGGTCAGGTTCCCGCCGCTGGCCAGGCTCCCGCCGCTGGTCAGGCTGCCGCCGCTGGCCAGGCTGCCGCCGCTGGCCAGGCTCCCGCCGCTAGTCAAGCTCCCGCCGCTGGTCAGGTTCCCGCCGCTGGCCAGGCTCCCGCCGCTGGTCAGGCTGCCGCCGCTGGCCAGGCTCCCGCCGCTGGTCAGGCTGCCGCCGCTGGTCAGGCTCCCGCCGCTGGCCAGGCTCCCGCCGCTGGTCAGGTTCCCGCCGCTGGCCAGGCTCCCGCCGCTGGTCAGGCTCCCGCCGCTGGTCAGGCTGCCGCCGCTGGTCAGGCTCCCGCAGCTGATCAAGCTGCCGCCGCTGGCCAGGCGGCATACCGGAGCGGCGCACAACGCTGACAATGCGGAGAGACATTCCAGCATGTTGGGGAGGAAGGGAAAGAGTTGTCATCTATTTCTGCCGGAAACGTCACGTGAACAATGCTTCTTTTCGTTCACAGATATTTCAAAGCCAGGCGGTAAAAATGCAGAGGCACTTGCCGTTCCCCTCGCGTTCTTACACCGTCGCAGCGACGCAGATGAGCAATACGCCGGCGATGATAAATAAGGTCAACGTTGTTTACGAACTCCGCAATGTCATTCAAGTATCGCTTGCCCTGCGCTGCAAGTGAGGATTATGCGTTGCCGACGCTAAAGCATGTCCAAAGCGTCAAAGTTGTGGGAGGAGGCCGCCAGAGTCAAGGTTTGTTTGCCTCGAGAGTACGTGCGAATGATGCGCCTGCATTGTGCCAAGTGCACGCCATTGAATTCCTTTCAAGCCATCAAAGCCAAACGAAAACAGTGTTTTAAAGGCATGATTGCGCCATCGATCTTCCTCGTCCAACGCGTGCGGATTGATTGCCGCTTTCTCAAGCGCGCGGTGCGGCGCGATACATCCAGTGTCAACACGGCCAGCATGCACCACGCGTGCACCGCTCCAGCCGGCAAGGTATCCGACTGCCCCTCTCCCCCCCCCCCCCCCCTCCTCTCCCTCCCAGTGGTCACCTGCACGGCGGGGGTGCCGGCGTCCTCGGAGCTCCTCAGGCTCAGGGTCAGGAGCAGCAGGCTGGTGGAGGCGAGACAGAGGGCGACGGTGAGGACGGACCTGCCGCCCGGCCAGCACGGTCTGCCCCAGGCTCTCCCGCCGACGAACGGCGCACCGCGTCGCCTGAAACGGATCGTCGCGCTGCAGATATGGGCTGCCTCGAAGCGTCCGCGACTTTACCTGAGTGTTGCTGCGCGGTGCGATGCAGCTGTGTGTGCTACCTATACTGGTGGCAGCTACCTATAGTAACTAGATGTTAAACTGTCACATATATTTGACGCAGCAATAAGTCTAGAGAAAGTAATTTTGATGTAGTCTACATTGCCTCGTCCGTCCAAAATGTGTGTGATTTCAAAATCATGCGCAGGTGCTTACATTACTTAACGCATGATAATGACACACCACCGAGCCACATGCGCCGTCCGACCACCGGCGCTTGGGCCCTGGTAAATGGCCAGCCCTCCTAACCCGCCCAGCCGGCACGGCTGCAGAACTGGGCCTCCGTGTCTGTAGCTGCGTCACGGAGTTCAGCTGCGCCAATCTCACTGTGCGTGGTGAAACATGAGATGCGCTGGAAACGGGGTGAAGGCCGCCGCGGCCAGGGTGTGGACGCTGCAAGAGATGTTGCTCGCGGAGACCCGCCAAACGGGGGCGTGCGTGCAGTTGGCTGCATTGCAGGCCGGTGTGCGGACATTTGTTGTTCGTCCACTGGTCCCAATGGCATGACCTGAGGGAGACAGTTGCTGCGGGATGCGACGATGCTCTCAAATATTGGCACGATCCGGAGTGGTATAAGGCTGCTTTCACTTATTTTTGACATTAATTACCTTTTTTAAATCACAACGGACCGAATGCAGCATTGGGAGTCTCGGCATGGTTTTTCACATCTTGTTATTCGATTCGAATAGATCCTTTTTCCCATATTGTTTGCAATGAGATAGCCCAGCGTGGCGCGAACATGTGTCAAATGCGTTACACGCGGATACGAGAATAACTATACCAATAGTAGTCAAAGAGTGAGGGCTATAATCGACAAAATCACAAAGGCAAAATCGTCACAGACGTAATGAGATCAGCCACAAGTGTCTTAACAATGACGTAACGCAGAAAGTCCTCATTATCATACATCTGCCCAAAATACTGACCCCATTCCTATCCTATTCGTATCACATCTCAGCCTAAATGCTATCTTTAGCCTACCCATGTACGCACTTATTTGCATTACGACGGATGCAAGAACTCAGTTATCGAATGGATGCATTGGCAAATACAACTAACTAAATATACAAAATGCATCCATTAAAAAACAAGGGACGATATATTTCTCCTACAGTAAAATCACAGCAGCATAATCGATGAAAGCCTCAGATTCACAGGAACCATCAGACAATATCCGGCCGACGGTCGGCTGCTGCGGCGGGTCAGGTGTCAAAGCCGCCCGCCCATGGCCCGCGCCGCCGGTGAGCGCAGCAGGAGGTGGTGGGGCCAAATCCGAGGATATCCGCCGGTGAGAGGTGATTGCTCTGGCGTAGCTTATCGATTGCCCTTCTGAGGCACGGTCGCTGCAGCAGCGGCCGTCGCTGCCACGCCCTGACGGCGCATGATGATGTTATGCGCCGGGCAAATGACGTCATTGGATCTGCTGTATGGCTCGTCGGCAGGGACTGGCCGTTGGTGGGTGCGCGGTGATCATTGGGCGGCGGCGAACTAATCAGAAATGTGTGACTCAATCAACATGTGGACAGCCCTCTGGAAGTGAAGAGGTCAAACCGGCTGCAAGGAGGTCAGGTGCAGCCGTGTGAATGAAGAAAATTTATGGCAAAGAGGCGCGAGCTTCGTATTCACGCCGCCCCCCCCCCCCCCCTCCCCTCAGACCTGCCCAGGATGTGCGCCGACTATAGGTTACGCCTAACCGCCTCCTTAATAGGAACACTCAAGTTGTGCGGTAATGTTTCCTTTCCTGGGCCCAGTGCACGCGTGCTTTCCATCATCTGAAGAGACCGTGGTAAATGCAGTCAAACGCTCTGTCATGGCGACATGGCCGCTTAGTGTGAACAGTTCTTTATTGCTGTTGTTGGCAGCTGTTAAGGGGCGCCCTCGTGACTTGAAACCATGCTGTGCACAGGCTCGATGGTTATGCATGAGCTCTGGGTATAGCGATCTCCAAACGAAAAAATAACAACAAACTGACATCGGACGGTGCAAAATGCTTGAACATGGTTAAAGCATCAGGGGCATCGTTGCTATCATGCCTCGCACGAGCCGAGGTTTTCAGACGTACCAACTCTATGGTGACATTTAGGTATGGCCATGCAAGGACATGTAGCATCGGCTGCCTGCTCTTGCGCGGCTTCCTCAGGCTCCAAATAACCAGTGTCAGTAGCATTGCCTTGATCGTTGTTTATTTTCTGTTCAGTGGTTTATGTAAATGATGATGTTCCGTTGGCAGGTTTAGAGCCAAAGCTGAGTTCATCCAATTAAGGTGTTGAATAGAAAAAAGATTGTCCGGTGACTAGCATGCATAATTCAGAGGTAACGCTCTCTGCGCGGCATCGGTTGAAGCGGACTGTGTCGTCAGTTCAACGCTAGGACGGCCGATCGTCCCCGGTAATCATTATTTTTGTTCATACTCGCTGGCCAGGAGGTAATTCGACTCGCGTCGTTGGCGACGTGGGTTGGCATCCTATTACCGTTTGGCTCCAAACTAAGTTGGGGCCGCGAGACAGAACCCAGTAAAGGCTTAAACAATGTCCAGTTTGACATCTTGAGGTCAGGCGGTGGCCGTCCAGGCCAGGGCAGCCCTCGTGCATGGAAACATCTAGTAAAAGCATATGACTTTTCGAGACAGCGAACAGCATTTTTCGAAAGGGAATAAAAAAGACACCAAGGCCATCAAAGATCAGTGATCGCAGTTGTTCTTGGACAGATTTCTTATCTGCCAAAAGCGAGCCACTATGCGTGTCAATTACATGCCCAAAATTTGGCCTTTTCAAAAATGGCATTTTAAGAAATGTTTCAAAACATGGATTTCAGACTCAGAGCTTCCCTCCACACCCAGCGCGATGTGAGCTCTCAGGATTGCTTCACTGCGGAAGCTACGGGGCCCCAGGTGCGACAGTAAACCTCTCGGAGGTCTGGCAGTTCAGAGGAGGGAGGGGGTGTCACCGCTGTGCCCGCCGGGCAGCCGCACCGGGACACGGTTACCGCACGTTGAGCTCTCTCCGGCGACCTTGGGGTCAGGTGACCGTGCCGGGGGTGTGCCAGCTTGTGGGTGGTGTCAGCGGCACAGCGGGAACCGAGCCAACATGGCGCTGTCAAGCCAACGCGCTAACGTGCTGACGGATGGTGATATACGGTTTCGCAATAGGACACGGATGGGAGAGATTAAAGCACTGTTATGTGGAGTGAACGTCCGTTCTGGGCATTTTTTAACATCAGAGAACGTCATCTCGCGGCATGGAAGACGTGGTATTCGTCCTGCCCTTGGTGTGCTGGTGCGGATAAAAGATAAAGGGAAAGAGGGAAGGGCACATTTGTGAGGAGCCCAAGAGCAGGCTCGTGGGCTGCTTGCCATTCGTCTTAACTTCAACATTCCTTGGGTGCTTCAATTTAAGTTATAACCGAACTGTTCTTTTCATATGTCGTCCTTTCGTATTGCCTCAAATATCTTTATATGAGAATGCATTCTG